TTTTTTGTGATTCTGTTTTTTCTTATGTGATTCCGTTTTTCAAATGTGATTCCATTTTTTCAAATGTTGTTGTGTTTTTCTTGTGTTTTTTCAAATGTAATTCTGGTTTTTCGAATGTTATTCATTTACACTTTAGGGCCACCATACATTTCACACCAAAAGTTGTGAAACCCTTGGCCTGGTATTGGAGTAAGTGTTAAAACAACCACAAAAGAGAGAAAAATGTACTTCATCACTGAGTTTGTTTACCCCAAGAGCACCGACCAGGACTTGAGAGCAAGTTGATGTGCAGTTCAGATCTTTCAATCATAATTTAACTGAAGACACAACATCAGCATTTATTTTAGCGGTTAACTCCTTTTGGGTCAAAGCTCCTTTGGTCGTGTGCAGTGTCCAGCAGAGAATTGTACGTCTCACTTGTTGTGGGTTAAGGATACTGATAACAGTAAACATTCAGTTGAAGTTTGGAACTGACATACGTTGTGTTAGTGCAAGAAGTTTTTACATTTAGATCCTATTTGTCTGATAACTAAGTGCTTACAGTATGTACTTAACCAGTCTGAAGGCTGCTATGATACAGTACATACTTTGCGAGACATAAGACATTTGTTCTTGCTCACATAGTTGTGAGTTGGTCTTTTTTCTCTTTCTGGTGTTAACAAAGAGGAAGTGCCAATTTGAAGGAAACCCCCATTTCCAACAGACGGTGCAGGAACACATCCTTACGCTGCCCGACCAAGGCGTATTCCCTCCCAGAAAGAACAGCCACCTCTGGGCTGGCTCTTCGTTACACAAAAATGGTGCCGTCTCCTTCCACAAACTCTTTGATTAGTTTCGTCTTCACCCACTTTTTTGCATAAACACACCCACAAAGTTCTAACCAGTCGAACAATACTCGGTACCCCTGTGAGAAAAAAGTTCTACCAGGAGCTCACACAACAAGTTCTCACAGGCCATGCAAGACAAAAGGTTTTGTCACACAACTACGTCAATGAGAACAAATTTCTCTATGTCTTGCAGAGTATAAATCAGCCCTAAAGAATCCCACACCTTCTAATTACAGCTCAAGCTCACTATGAATCAATTAGTTTCTTTCTATTTGTTTTGCCGTTTGTAAATTTCTCACAACTCTACTATTTTGCCATAAATGTTTGATGTTTGTTGGTGTTTATTTTCTGACCAGATTCACAAGCTACAGCTAATCTGAACAGGATCAAGACCAAAGTGACTTGCTGCCATCCTGAAACAACTCCAGTCTTAAAACATAAAGTAAATAATGTAAACGCTAGTTTATAAACCTTTACATCAAGGTCAGTTTCGCATTACAGTGATTTACATAGCATGTTATGGTTATTTGCAAATGCAAATAGCAGCAGCAGTAGCTAACAGGAAGGCTTTTAGTGACACCAGGGCCACTTCCAACAGGAATATCACAATGTTTCTGTCGAAGTAATGAAAGATTAACAATGATGTAAAGATTTTTAAAACAGTAATAACATGAAACACTATGAAATCTTTGTAACTAGAGGTGTTTTAGGACTAAAGTACTTTACTTTGGTCTTAGCGGTGTTCGAACTAGCCATTTGCTCATCAACTCGGCCAAAATTCAACTACTGTATTTTTCGATGTATAAGTTGCCGTTTTTGGCATAAATTAGCATGCCTGTGACTTATATGGCTAAGCGACTTATTTATGTTTTTTCCCATATTTATAACCCAATGTTTGGCTGAGATTTGACAATTTCATTCATTCTGACATGGAAAATCAATCAACCTTTATTTATACAGGTAAATCCCATTGAGCCTCGAGGACTCATTTACAAGAGAGACCTGATTTCAACAAAGAAAGATGACAACAATGGACAACAGCAACAACAATAAGCAGTTATAAAAACTCATACTACAGTTTTTTTTTGTTTTTTTTTTTTAACAAATAGGATGGCTAAAAGGAAAAAGGTAACAAAACCAAAAAAACTGCTAGATTCCGAGACAAATGTATAAAACTAAAAACAGGAACATGTCTGCATTGGACCCTGCCAGGAGTCCAACAGATTCTTAAAGCCACTTAGAGAGGTCAAGGTCGAGAGCTTCAAATCTTTTTGTAAGATATTCCAGGAAACAGGAGCGGAGTAGGAGAAGGCCCTTTTGCCTAGTTCAGTCCTCACTGAGGGAACACTGCAGGTAATAATGTCCTGAGAGCGCACTCCGTAGCTGCACTCACGCAGAGACATGTAGGAGGAGATGTATGAAGGCAGCAGACCAAGAAGTGATTTAAAGATGAAAATGTACCAGTGAGAGAGTCTGCGTGAAGTTAATGATGTCCAGTTAACCAATGAATACAGGGTGCAGTGGTGGGTACGATAATCACAGCCAGTTATGAATCTTAGTGCACCATGATAGACAGCATCCAACATCTGCAGGGTTCTTGTAGGAGCGTTCATGTAAATAATATCACCAAAATCAATTGAGGGAAGGAAAGTCACAGATACAAGGCGTTTTCTAGCATTCAGGGTTAGACAGGATCTGTTTCTGAAAAAGAAACCCAGTTTAATTTTCAGTTTCTTTACCAAGTTTTCCACATGGAGCTTAAAAGAAAGATGTGAGTCGACCAAGATACCCAAATATTTATAGGAATCAACAAACTCAATGGGGACACCATTTGAGGATAAAATCGGAGGAAGAACTGCTGGGACCAACTTCCTATTTGAAAAAAGCATCCCTTTGGTTTTTTCGGCATTTAGGACAAGTTTGAGGTGAAACAAATCAGTCTGGATGTAGTTAAATGCAGATTTCAGAAGCTGGAAAGCCTTAGCAACTGTTTTAGCTCGACAATAAACAACTGTGTCATCAGCATAGAAATGTATGGATGCATTAGGGATGTTTTTACCTACATTATGTATGTAGATTGTAAAGAGGGTGGGTCCTAAGACTGAGCCTTGTGGTACACCATTGTTGACTGTTAAATAACTGGAGGAAGTACCATTATGTTGAACACATTGCCTCCGGTCTTAAAGATAGTTAGAGAACCAACCAATGGTGTGATCTGAGAAACCGATTTCTGAGAGTTTATGACACAAGATGTTATGATCCACAGTGTCAAAAGCTTTAGACAGGTCTAAGAAAAGTGCAGTGCAGTGCAACAGTGAACATATTGAACACTTCCATTTTCAGCCACTAGAGGGCCCTCGATTAATATGGCAAGCCACGTGTCTCATTAATAGGTAAAAGTGGCTATTAATGAGACACATAACTTGCCATACCAAGCCACCTTTTTCTCGCTCTGGAACTCCGGGAGCAAATGTCAAATCAGCTGCATTTCACTGCGCCGCCCAGGCGAAATGCAGCTGATTTGACCATTAAAGTACATTTATTAAGGAAAAGTTCAACTGAGACACACCTTTACTAAAAAGTTGAGCAAACAAATAATTATTTTTAGGTGGTTATCTTGTTAAATCTCGAAGAATTGCACAGCGAGTCCTCTCTCTGCACGCTCCCGCTTCCGCGTATCGGCTTTTGAAATGCAGCTGATTTGATCGTCAAAGTGCATTTATTAAGGAAAAGTTCAACTGAGACACACATTTACTATAATTTCGAGCAAACAAATAATTGTTTTTAAGTGTTAATCTTGTTAAATCTTGTTAAAGTCCTCCAGTGGACACTCCCATGGCCACCATTGGGCGGCCAAATCGATTTTTGTCACAACACCGACCCACAGTTCCGGGTTGTTAGCGGTGACGCATAATAGATGCAACTTATTTATGTTTTTTCCACTTTATTAAAAATATTTGGACTGATGCGACTTATACAGTGGCTCGACGTGTACGGCGGCAAGTACGGTAAATAAATTAACTCTACACAGAACACCACTTTAAAAGATTTGAACTATTGCTTTCAGGTTGGTGCAATCCCTGTGCAACAAATTAGCTCCCATTTATCTACAATTAGATATAAAGAGGGTGTTTTGTGCACTTTATTAAACTTGTTAGAATAGAAAATGTTTCAGAGCGCACAAGCTATAATGTTCCTTTTACATCGATTTCATAAACTCACATATTAGATCATTATGCTCAACTCTGATTCAAAAAATAAGAGAGACCGGCAGATGCTTCACACAGAAAAGACAGAATTTCAGGTTAAGTAAGGTAAATGACTATTTAAGCGCTCAGACAGTGTAATTGTTATCCAGCAAACAGCTCAGTAAGAAACAGGTGTGTTTGTGTGTGAAATGAACCTGCCAGCCATTTGAAAGTATCTTTTTGTTTTGTTTTTGTTGAAGCAGCGTGGCCTCACCCACAGTGAGCCACAGGACGCCAGCTGCAGCTCTTAATCTCCAACTCGTCGAGCTGGTCTGCGTGTCTGCATGGGCGGAGGTTAATGGAACGCCGAGCATTAAAAGCTCCTCTCGGCTTGTGTGAGAACACGTTTTTTTCTTGTTTTTTTCGGGGGGTGACGATAAGTGAAATGTGAAAGAGGTCCAAAGGCTGATAAAAAGAGAAAGTTACATTTGCGGACGAGCATTTCCGACTCAAATCTATATATTTTTACATAAATTTAAGCTGCAGCTCTTGACACCATTAACTTCCTGTGATGATTCTCGTCATCAGACATGCAGACTAGAATCTGAGCCTCAATCAAACAGTCGCTGTGCAAAATTATACAACATATCAGATACGTTCTAGTTGCAAAGTGGCCACATATTTGAAATTTTATTTAGATAGTGATCCTGTTATTATTTAAAAAGGCCCTTGAAACAGTGACTCTGTACACCTGAGCTACAAATCTCCAAGCATGGCTGACTTTTCTCACGCTCTCGGTCTTTTCATCAAGACTTTATGATGGATTGCCGCCCAAAGTCACAACACACTATCTCTGATCCAGCTGCATATTTTGCCGCTCTTTTAAGATCAATGCGAGCTGAGGAGGGCGTGGCAGCGTCTCAGGTGAGAGATGATCGACAGCTTGTTCATCAGATTGCTGAGCTGCAGCTGAAAACTAACGAGACGTGACAAATTAACAAGATATGGAAAGAGCTCGGCATCGTGACTAGAGAAAGGTTTCCAAATTCTTAATAAATATTTAAATTAAATTGTAAAATGTTGGTCCTGTGGACAAATGTTGGTGTCATATAGACGTGATCTCGAACTTGACAATAAAGGAACCATGACTTGAAACTTTTTGTTTTCTTATCAGAGTCAGAGTCAGAGTTTCTTTATTGTCATTCGCACCTCATGTGGTACATGTGGTGGAGCGAAATTATGTACGCAGGGTCCCAGCTACATCCAACAATAAAATGTATAAGAAAAACAGTAATAACATCTAAGATATGAACTAAGAAAAACATCAACTAAATATACACTAAGCACTCATAACATAAAATATTGAACATCAGCACAAACATGAACATGAGTCTGTGAGCAGATGTGCACGCATGAACACATCAACATTGAAACAGATCAGCAGCAACATGAAACAGATCAGCAGCAACATGATATGGTTTTTCACAGTGATTATTCTAGTTAGAGATTCATGAGTCTAACAGCCTCAGGGTAGCAGCTGTTCCTCAGTCTAGTGGTTCTACACTTAATGCTCCTTAACCTCCTTCCTGAGGGGAGTGGGGCAAAAAGTGTGTGTGCTGGGTGGGTGGGGTCCTTCATGATGCAGGTGGCCCTCTTCCTGCATCTGGAGGTGTAGATGTCTGTGATGGTGGGGAGACTGATTCCAACAGATTTCTGTGCAGCCTTCACCACTCTCTGCAAAGCTTTTCTTTCTGCAGCTGTGCAGCCTCCATGCCACACATTGATGCTCGAGCACAGGATGCTCTCCACTGCACACCTGTAGAAGGAGGTGAGGACTGAGCTTCCCAGACCAGCTCGCCTCAGCCGTCTGAGGAAGTAGAGTCTCTGATGAGCTTTCTTGATCAGGCTGGTGGTGTTGTTGCTCCAGCTGAGGTTGTCATTCATGTGTACACCCAAGTACTTGTAGCTGGAGACCACTTCCACCGCAGATCCTCTTATGTTCAGGGGGGTGTAGGTGTTTTTGTTCCTTCTGAAGTCCACAATCATCTCCTTTGTCTTCTTCACATTGATGTGAAGGTTATTCTCTCTGCACCAGCTCTCCAGGTGTTCCACCTCCTGCCTGTAGCTGGACTCATCATTGTTTGTGATGCATCCCACCACCGCTGTATCATCTGCAAACTTTACAATGTGACAGCCTGGATGGGTAGCTGCACAATCATATGTGAGCAGAGTAAACAGGAGGGGGCTCAACACACATCCCTGAGGAGAGCCAGTGCTGAGGGTTATGGTGGAGGAGGAGAGGTTGTGGAGAGGTTGTGGTTATCAAACCTCTGCTGATAAAACTTGTTTTCAGTGGCGTTTAGTTTAACGAGATGTCCCGGTTTATAAAGAACTCACCGTTAATTTGAGCTCAAACTGCACCAGAGTGCCCCCCCCCCCCCAATTAACTAATTAAGAGTTAAACAGGTAATGGATTAATTTGATTATTTCTATAAACCGTATTTTCCTGCGTATAAGTCACAGTTTGTTTGTTTGTTTGTCAGTCCTGCAATTTATATATGTTTTTTTCTTTATAGTCATAATGTAATTTTTGACTGACACTTTAAATTTCAAATAACTGCAACAGCGAGTCCTCCCGTGCGTGCTCGCTTCTCTCAGCTGGGGCAGGCGGAGGAACGCTGGAGAGCTAGCGGCTCTGGTCACGATGGATGGATGGATGGATGGATGGATGGATGGATGGATGGATGGATGGAAGGAAGGATGGTTGGATGGATGGATGGATGGATGGATGGATGGATGGATGGATGGATGGATGGATGGATGGATGGATGGATGGATGGATGGATGGAGCCATGCTGCACAAGCGAAATGAAGCTGTTTTGACCATTAAATAAACGCATAATAAACACATAATAAACATAATAAACTCAACGGGTCAGCGGTGACGTATAATAAATGTGACTTATTTGTTTTTTTCCTCTTCATGTTTTTTTTTTTTACTGATGCAACTTATACGCCAGAAAATACAGCAACTATGGCCATTTTCTTTAAACCTAAAATAACTTTATGAACATATTGCAATATCACAAGATCTCTCGTGATGCGTTCAAGCTCCGAGTGTTTGTTGTGAAGGATCCTTGTCTACTACCACGCAAAATTTTTGCTCCGTATTTGAAGAGTTTGCATAATTATATCCATTTTTGTGATGGCCAAGTTTTCTTAGTGGTAGTGACGTATTAGTGCACTAGTGAACCTGTTTCAGGTTTGCCACAAACCATGACACAGCAAACATGAAGGAGCTCAAATCAGAACTTTTTGGCCTAAACGCAAAAATCTACTAACACCAGCACCCCCGCTGTGAAACACGGTGGTGGCAGCATCATGCTGTGGGGATGCTTTTCTTCAGCTGGGACAGAGAAGCTAGTCTGACTTGTTAGAGCCTATAAGTGACTTGAGACCAGAGTTGAGGTTCATGTGTTGGAATGGGCCAAAAACTCAGAATCCAGATATGTGCAAAAATGGAGACACAACACACCGGCACTAGTTGGAAACATTTTGGTTCAGTGCAGAGTTTCAGATCCTCACCTGACGTGTCCCACATGTTCAGCTCGATCCGCTGCTTGTCGATCTCGAAGCTGGCTGTGTAATTCTCGAACACCGTGGGAACATAATTCTGAAAACAAGACGAGTGGCTCAAATGAGATGAAGCTCAGAGGGGTGCTTTGAAAAATAAAAGTAAATTGGTGAGAGTTTTCTGAGGCGAAGCAGCTGGACTCTTAATGAACTCTCAAATAGCTGTGGAGCGGAGGGAGCTCTGAATGTCAAGAGGCAGGCGTGTGTGTGTGTGGGGGGGGGGGGGGTCTGTGTGTAAATGATCAAATTATCTCTCAGCTTTGACCTATTTCCAAACTTCCCAAAGAAATAGGTCAATTGGATTTCATTTAATTTTATCTCAGCAATTCAAAAAATTTAATCTCCATCAGTTTTTCCTTCAGGCAAAATAAAGATTTCTGCAAATCTTCCCTTAATTCTGAGTTTATGTCATTTCTTGTTGCTGTTAAAGTGCAGAGGATGAGCTGCCATCGACACTCAGGGGGTTCTGTGTTCACTGAGTTCACAAAGTGTGCGCTGAGATCTGCACAAAACATGAAACCCTTCCACCTGCATGACTTCTCACAATCTAAATAAAGAGCTCATTGTTTAAGCACCATAATAAAACATTACAAAATATCATGCCCCACAGATAATAACAGTTTCTAAACATAAAAACAATCATTAGGTTTTTTTTTTTTTTCCTTTTCAGACGGAGGCTCTCCAAACGTTTCCAGACGCGTTCCATGCGCAAAGGTGCCATGCCACTATAGTTTTTATATTTTATCTGAATTTTTTTTAATCATTTCATGTTAAAACAGCTATAAGGCAGGTGTTAGGTTGAGCACCGCACTCTGTTAGGAATAAAGTGACTTCCGAGTAGCATTTTTGGAGCAAATCGCAGTCATTTGCGCACTAAAGTCCTAAAAAAAAAAAAAAGAAACAATGTTAAAGTTAGAATGAAAGACGTTTATTATAATTTACTGGAGGTTTTCGGGTTTCATCTAACTGCTCAGATCACTGGAGACACGGTGGGGGGGGGGGGGGGGGATTTACGCATCAGGAGCCGCAGTAGCAGCAGCTGTTTTTCTGCTTTTACGCTCACCTCTGGGTACGAGTCTTTGGCAAACACGTGGAGCAGAGCCGTCTTTCCGCACTGAGAGTCCCCGACCACCACGATCTTACAGCGGAGTAAACCTTTGCTCTCCATCGCCTCTGAGACTGGATGCTGCTGCGCCTTCTGCTCATTTACTGAGCTGAGGGTCGAGGAGCGGCTGGTCTGAAGCGTCCTCCTGCATGGAGGATGAATCACTCCATGTGACAATAATCAAAAAATAAGAAGAACTTCAGCTCCACTTGATGTTGCGTCTCCAAACTCCGCGCAGCGCTGCGCTCCTCTGCTCCTGTGACGCTTGTTAAAGACACCTGTCTGTAAAGGTGGCGCTGTTCAAGTTCTGTTTCCGGTCTAGTTTTGTCAAAATAAAGGCACAAAGGTCTCTAAATCCTTCCAGATGAAATGATGCGTTCCAATCAGCTACAAGTGTTTAAGAGCATTTAGACATATACAGTACGCGAAACGTTTCAGCACAACAACAAAAAAATAAACTGTCCAGATGACCTGATTGAAAAATGTTGGATTGTATACCTGGATTATTGAGCATGGACTTTGTTGGTTTACTCCTTAATCTTTAGATAAGCACTACCATTGTGCATTCTTTTGAGTGTTTACAACTAATAACGTGTAACAATATTACTGGGGTGATAAATATAGAAATACCCATATTTAACATTTAATCTGTGTCTATAATAACCAGATCCTGAAATGTAGATGTGATGTCATGTGGATTTTCTGAATGAAGAGCACTAGCATTCACATTTAACTGATTTTGATTAATCACATGACAGTGATGAACATATACACACCAATATATCTTTACAGTGGGTGGGGTGTAATGAACATACATAAACTATTTTTCTATCTTTCAATCTATCTATCCATATATATATAGGTGTGTGTGTGTGTGTGTGTGTGTGTATGTGTGTGTCCTTGTTTATGCTACTTTGTGAGGCCCATTTTTCCAACTTATACTACATTGTGAGGACCAACTGCTCCTTATGGGGCCCAAAGCCCGGGCCCCATAAGAAGAAGTCCCGTTGGTGGGTTAGGGGCTAGGTTTAGGACTAAGGTGTGAATTGAGGATGTGTTAGGTTTAGGGTTAGGTATGTACTGGTAATGGTTAGGTTAAGGATAAAGGTCATGGTTAGGCTATAGAAATGAATGAAAAATGAATGGAAGTCAATGCAAAGGCCCCATAAAGATAGCAAAACAAACCTGTGTGTCACATGCCGTGGGTCAGAACATCTGAACTTTTGATCAGATTTCTGGCGCCCTCTGGTGGTTAAAAGTCAGAAAACAACCACATCTAAATCTCACCTTATAGTTGAAACACAGATTGTTTTAATTCATTTTTAATTATATTTAATCTGATTTAGATTACGCTTCTGTTTACCTTTTGGAGGGAATTTTTTAGGCTAAGTTTTCAACACTTTTAAGTTGTTTTCTAATAGCAATAAGTGAGTTAACCCAATTGTATAATCCTTTTTTAAACTGTTAAAGCAAATGCGACAAACTTTATGGCCACAGCAGTCATGCAAAAAATAAAAAATAAAAGTCCTCATAAGAAGTAAAGGCTGCAGTTTAAAAAAAAATACAAAGTGTGAGTGAGAGGCTGGAGAATGTTTTCTCAGGTTGTTATTTGTGGACAGCCTGCTCCTCTTTTCCGCTGACAGACTTCTTCGAGGATCAAAAAAAGTGAAATGGTAACGTCTGACATTTGTGCTTCTTTTTTTTTAAAGCAGCTCTGTTTGTCACCACTTCCTGTGTGTCTCGCTGAACCGACACAAAGAGATGAGGGCTGCAGGATGGATGCGTGGGTGCTGCTGTGTCACTCAAGTTCTGAGTCCTCGTGCAAAATGTCCAGCTGTTTCAAAAAGAACAGAGCGTGTCTTGAATGCATCACGAGTTGCGAAAAAGCAACTCGTCCCCATCTATGTGTACTTTTTTTTGGTCAAAATATGTTCACTTCCGGTGTATAGTAAAAGTTTTAATTTTTATTTTCTCCCTGCTTTGACTTCATTCAATTAAATCCCCACTGCTCCCAGCAGGACTCCAGTGTCCAGGCTTTGTAGCTCTCTGTTTCTCATTTATGAGCTTCTGCCAACAAAACAGAGCAGATGTGTCAAGTCAGCCATGGTGAGACACGCCCACACCGGAAACTAGGTTAACTCTTCAAACTAAAACGTTCCCGGGCAGATTAATAGGAAAATAAAAATCATAATTCATCATTGCTCACATGAAAAATTTCCTGGTTGACTTGTAGCTTCTTAGAAACGTCAAGTTTTAAAAACTAAAATAATTTTAGTAAATAAAATCTCAAACTTCTACTTCCCCTTTTTCAGTGAAACCAAATTTCAGTGATTAAAAAAAAAAAAAAAACGTGAAAAATTAATCCAAAAAAGTTCAATCTGGTCCTCTGGACATTCAAAAAAAACAAAAACAAAACAAAGCAAAAAAAAAAAATCTAGAAACGTTTCGTCTCTCATCCAAGAGACTTCCTCAGTCTGAGGTCTCTTTTGATGTCACATCGCTCTTTACATGCATTCCTGTTGATGATGCAGTAGAGGTGGTCAGTTTAAGATTAAAATCAGACACCACTCTGAGCAGCAGGACCACGCTTTCCACAGAACAACTGTGTCAACTCTTGAAACTG